TGAATTACTGAATATTTCTGTCTTATGAAATACTTCCCTTCTTCCTTTTCTTTTTCTTTTTTTTTTTTTTTTTAAAAGAGGTTATCTATACGTATGCTCTGAAACATAGAGCAGTGTCTTTTTGAGTGACTTGCATTGGTAACTTCAGTCGTTTTCTGGACTGTGACGAGCAGTCTCAGATAGTAGTGCTGCAGTTGTCTCCAAGCGTTTTCTTAGCAAGTAGTGTTTGATCTTGAAGACGTGCAGTGGTAATGTTGTGAAACAGTAATCCCCAAAGAGGGAACTGAATAAACAGGAGGAAAGTTGGTACTTCCATGATCTTGCTTAGTATAGAAGACAAATTTGTTCTGTGGGTATTAAAGATGAGTATTGGGCTGGGAGTGCTTATAAGCAAAATTAGGGGCTTAAGTATTTTGTATACCTGTTGGCTAAAACTGATTTATCATTGTAAACAAAAAAATTAACGTACTTAATGTAAGCCTGAACTCTTGTTCAACTGTCTCTTGGTTGAGCCAATGATATGCAAGGTTTTGGCTGTCTGCTACTGCAGCGTAGCAGTGGAGCAGCATTATTGTAATAACCAAGAAGGCATTAATAATTGCTTGGAGTGAGAAGTCAAAGGCAAAAAAAAGCTCTAGAAGAAGCTCTATTGCAGTGACCTTTTTCCTTTCATGATGTGATCTTAGTAGAGCTACGTCCTTTTCTGACTTTGAGTGAAAATAAAGTGAAGTGCTGCTTTTACTTCTGGCATATATAATTTTGTAAAGTTTGATATAAAAAAATGTGTAGTTGCTGTTTGTACAAACCAGTGTTCTTCATGGTGCCATAAGTCAAATTAAGAAACTTAAGTCTATCTGTTGTGCAGTGAGTTTTTATTGTACTATGTTTAATGAATTTCTTCAGTACCTGAGATGACTGAATTGCACGTGAGGTCCCTTATGACCTTTCCTCTCATAGATGATTGCTGTAGAAAACTTGAGAGACAGTTCTGGTGTTGGAGGTTAGATCCAAAATAATTTCAGTGAGAGGGCTATCAAGCTGTCTTTGTGTATTGTTTCGTGTAATTGTGTTCAAAATGGGAAGTGCTGTAAACATTAATATTCCTTGACATGAGGATTTGAAGAGGTGGATTTTTTTAATGCTGTAGCCTTTGGTTGCAAACAAATCTAGCAGCTAGAGTTCCTATTTTTTTCTCCAGTTTTGGGGGGAAAGTGATCCTTATCGAAAGGAAGTGCTGGTGATAACTGGAACATCCGGGTCACTGTCAGTTCAAGTATTTCTCATTATTTTAAAGTGCCTTTCTTTAGTTACTGATAGTTAAAAATAGACTGCTTGCAACTTTATAACAGGAATTTTTTGAAAATCAAGTAAATAGGTGCTTTATTTGTTTACTGTGCCAGACCTTTATCTTAAAAAGGGCTTCCACACATTCATATCACTGGCAGTATTATTTTTTTTGGCAAGCAGGAAATATGTTGAGATACAGCAATGACACATTATTCTGTAGAAGTGGGATCTGAAGCACATAAAATGTTGACTTTATGGCCTTGCATTTGATTTTAAAAGATGTATTGTTTTTCTTAACAAAATGATGAAGTCTTCCATCAGCACTTGGCTGAAAGAATTCTTTAATGGCCTTACAGGAACTGTATTCTTTCACAAAGACTGGTGGGAATTGCTTGTTGGACTTCAGAAATTTAAATTCCTGAGAGATATGCATCAGCTCTCTTGGGAACAATATAATCTCACAAGATGAGGGCTCGTTGAAAGACTTGGCATAAGCAATGGGCTCTAGGTGCACTGATAACAAGGGAAATAACCTGGTGCAGCCTGGGCAGAGTGTGTTTGTGGGACCCAGTGAGAGCATTGCGGGTGTCCCTTTTCAGGGTTAGGAACAATCAGAGAAGAAAGACTTTTATTTTTTTTTTCTTTTTAAATTTTATTTCCTGCTTTGTCTTAAGCAAATGATTAAACAGAAGATGACATTCTAGCTGTTGCAGTGCAATAGGTAGCCGGGGTTGTTTGTCTGGTGATAAACAGTGTGCAGCACATCCCCTCAGGTGAGTTGAGATTGGCAGTCTTTGTGTCTGGTGTAGGGGTTTGTCATTCAGTTGATGGGGCTGGGATTTACAGAGACAAGGCAGGAGTGAGGACCTGCGTTGTGGAGGATACTGCAGCACAGTTTCCAGAGGAGTTTTCGTTATGAGTTGTGGCCTTATTTGGTTAACATTTCTCTTTTAACTCCCTCTGTGTCATAGCTAAATAAGCTGTACTTTGATCCTTCTCTCGGCTTTCTTTAGTTCTATAGTAGCCTTGAAAATAAAGAATATGTTTTCGGTTGTTCTAACTTCTCCTAATGTTTACTTTGAAAATAGGAACAGATCTGCTTAGCTTCTAGCACATCTGGAAGCTATCTGAAGGTGAAGGGGGCTGTGAGTAAGACCATTTACTGAACACCTTCTTTCTGACCTCTGAAGTATTATTTTTATATGATTGGGAATTTATTCTCTTTGTTATGGTTGTATTTTTGTCTTACTAAAAATCAAGGGGTTTCTTCTTTTCAGGAGAAGAGACTACCTTAACCACTGTCTTTTTAGCAAATTAATTAAAAAACAAGCAGCTTTCCTGGTTTGCTGAATACCTGGTAAGATGTAGAGGCAAGAGAGAACTGGGCTTTTGTTTGTTTGTTCTTTATGATGAATGTGTATTTGAAGCGATGGCATAGACTTGAAGTTACTTGGATAATGCTGATTTTACTTTTTGGTGTTTGACTGAAACGGTGTGTGGAGGATGCTTTTGTGAGAGGAATCACCTGTGTCAGCTTCTTGGAGGCCCGGTAGTGCAAAAGAGGAGGGGAGTGGTTCTAGGTTAAAACTACACCTGCAAGTGTATTTCCATCATCCTGTCACTTGCTGCTCTTGATTTGTATCTGTAGAGGTAACCATGGTAAGGAATTGTTCTTGCTGCCCCATACCCTCTGGGACACTGGGAGAGCAGGGCCTCTGTTAACCTCTACTGTGGCAAAGCAGGCTCTCCTGTGGCAAGGCAGAGGCACAAACTTAAGAAACAAAAAGCTGTAAAACCACATGTAAATACTTTGGGCTGTGAATGAGAGAATTGGTGAAAAATTAAGAAAAAGGAGACATGGCATCTGGAAACAGAAAATGAAAGTGTTGGGGTCCCTGTTGTTTAATAAGATGTTGCCAAAAACTTAGTATAACTTCTGAGAAAATGTACTTGGAGATTTTTCCTCCTTTGTATGGGTGGGAAACATAAGCATAAATAACCAAAACCACATGCAGTTGTGCTAGAGATGGGTAGGGTACATAGCTCTGTATGTGGAGATTCAGCCGACATCGTTAGACTGCCTGACCCCACGTGTGTGTGTATGTATTCTTTATAAATCTGTCTAGCTGTTGTGCACAAATTTTGATGAGTCTTTTATCAGTTAGAGCTCTCAGTTAAACACTGTATAAATAAAGCCGCATTTTACTGATGTGGACCGTGCGTTTATTGCTGTGTGTGATTAAGCGCTCTCTTAGTGATAGTAGAGTTCCAGCAATGAAATTACATTCCTCTGCTTAATGGAAAATAAAAGTCCACTAGCATTTGCAAACAAATGCTTCTGTGGCATGTAGTCTTCAAAGATTAAATTCTGAGTTCAGTTGCGGTAAATATCTTTTAACAGTCATTTGAAGTCGCTTAAAGATGTAAGAACAAGTAAAGAAGGGGAAAAGCAGTACTTCTTCACTTTGCGCTTGGATTATTTTTGGTATTAACGTCATAGAGTGAGATTTTTAGTCTTTTGTGTATTTTGGTTTTTATGTTGTGGTGTTTGTTGTTTGTTGTTTTATTGTTGTTTTTTATTTTTTTTTTTTTTTAAATAGTTGTACTGATGCTCTGTATTGGCTAATGGTTTCTTTTGGCGGTTATATGAAAGCTAAAAGTCATGCAAAAAAACCCCAAAGAAGTCGGGGAGGATTAAAAAGAAGTTGCATTCATACATGTTGCGATGTTCACATAACCCAGAAATAACTCAGGCAAGCTGCTGTACAGACCAGAGTTAAATTTGCGGCTAACGCCACACGTCTTGAATTATATGCGGAGTGCACCAAAACTAATTTAAAACGTTAACAGAGTGGAGGTATAAATTTTGATGGTGAATTCTCATTTGTTGTGTTTGGAGGTTTGTGAGTACTACCGATTAGCTTGGAGAGGCTGTGAATAGTTAATTATTCAGTACGAAGTTCTGAAGTTCAAAACTAAGCAGTTTCAGCAACAGATTGGTCATGTGAAGTCTCCTTACACAGTCGTCTTTTGCAATGCTGCTCTGGACCTTGTTTGCTTTTCATTGTGAGTGACTCTAAACTTCCTTTTCCCAAGAAAGATGTGTGTTTCTGATTGTTGTACACTAGATCTTTTGTTTTAATTCTGTAGGACAATTATAGAAATTAATTTCTTTGGTTACGTTTAGAGTAAACAAACTTTGGTACAGCTCCAGAATCTAAATTGCAAGCATATTTTTGGAACCTTTGTGTATTATGTTTGAGATCTATTTTAACTTTCTGTGAATGTTTCTTCATTCAAGCTTTTTAAAAGAACGTTCATAAGAAATGAGAAAGTTCTCATGAGGTAATCTGTCTCCACAGTGTGCTTTGGCTTTGTTTCTAATGGTATAATTCTTAGTAATAGCATCTTTTCCTTGTGACTATGTCAGTGAATTGTGGAAAGTTATTTGAATAAAAGGGGATGCTGGACTATATGTTGTAGGACTTGAGAGTCCTGCCTTCCCAATTTACTCTAACACAAATATATGTGGAGATGTAGAGAGTTTTCCATTTATACTATTTTGGATTTTATTGTTTTTACTTATTTAGTACTTACCACTCTGCATTCGAGAGTAAACTGGCTTGTCACTAAGATGGGAAAGGATAGTGAGAAAATTTAAATAGGGAATCGGCATAGGTGAGGGGGAAATATGAAAGCATATTGTGACTGAAATGTCAAGAAATATTACAACACTGTATTGGTTATACTGCTATTTTATTACTGTATAGAAGTAAATAGACTAGAGCTGGTGGAATTTGTTTGAATGATCAGAAGAAAAATCTGTGGAGGAAAAATGTGATTATTCTCTTGTCTATCCTATATATTAAACATACTGTCAGTGCAGTATGGCTTCATACTTCATAGTACACTATTTCTGTTTCTACTAATTCAGTAAATCTGTTTGGAGAACACACAAATAGGGTCCTTTGCGTAACCCAAGGAGGAGAAAAGTAATTATTTTACTTTTAATGTACATTTAAAAACTTGTTTTGTTTTGGGCTTGATGTTTATTGGGCTTTTTTTTTTTTTTTTTTAATATGATGGATACCCTAGTCTGTTTTATCTTCTGTCACCACTGATCGTGTGTTTAAAATATTCTGTCATCCCTTCCTTGCACATATCACTTACATGTTCCAAGTGAAAAGAATTGGAGGCTCATTCCTCTTCTGAGACTTGTTAGTTTGCCAGCATGGAATCATATGTGTAAATACATACTTGACTTTTAATTTTTATTCATTTATTTCAGAAGAAAATCTAGAGCGCCACCTCCTCCATCTGAAACAAAACCCATTGCTGTTTCTCCGTTTGATGACACAGAATCAGCCAGCCTCATCATGGAACAGAAAGAGAATGTAATCGATAAAGATATTGAACTATCAGTGGTCCTGCCAGGAGATGTGATCAAGTATACTACAGTTAATGGGAGGCAAGTTACACAGAATGACATTTTTGTTTATTTTCTTGCTCTAGTTTACTTCAACCTTCATCCTGTTTTTAATCAGTAAAATACGTGAGTTGTGTAAGTCTGAACATTGAGTGTGTCCAGAGAAGGGCAATGAAGCTGGTGAAGGGTCTGGAGAACAGGTCTGATGAGGAGCGGCTGAGGGAACTGGGGTTGTTTAATCTGGAGAAGAGGAGGCTGAGGGGAGACCTTATTGCTCTCTGCAGCTACCTGGAAGGAGGTTGTTGTGAGGTGGGGGTCAGTCTCTTCTCCCAAGTAACAAGTGATAGGACGAGAGGAAATGGCCTCAAGTTGTGTCAGAGGAGGTTTAGATTGGACATTAGGAAAAATTTCATCACCGAAAGGGTTGTCAAGCACTGGAACAGGCTGCTCAGGGAAGTGACGGAGTCACCATCCCTGGAAGTGTTTAAAAGGTGTGTTGATGTGATACTTGGGGATATGGTTTAGTGGTGGGCTTGGCAGTGCTAGGTTAATGGTTGGACTTGATGATCTTAAGGGTCTTTTCCAACCTAAACAATTCTATGATTCTACTATGATTTTTGGGTAGGTGTGGAAACATATACTTTATACATTTACCTGCTTTTTGTGAAGACTGGTTTTTTGAGATTCAGAAGTTCTGTTTGGAACCTATCAGGATGTGTAGCCACACCTGTTGTTCTTTCTAGTCACTGCAAATCTCTAGAAAAATACTAGTTTGTATGAATCACTGAATTTTCCCACGTAAGTTTTTGTTAATCTTAAAGATGAGTTCCTGCATCCTATTTGGGTACCAAGTCACATGTTTAGCTCCTATGCAAGGCCTTGTATGGATCAGAGCAATTAAGATGCCAGTTTGTTGCTTTCCTAAGCTGAAGTAAAGAAACTGTATATTGTACTTGTGTTAGTGTATTGCCAGTGTCTTTGCTACTGAAAGCAAGCAGGCAGATGTATTTATTTATTTAAACCCAGTAATGTAGATGTTGGTTACACCTACTTCACCTCTTAATGTGAGGTAAAGTCTGGCTCGAGTCTGTTTGCAGGCTTTGCTAGAGTTCATGAGGTCATTGCTTAGACATCAAATACCAGCTTGTTCACCAGACCTGCAGTGGATGAACGTTTATGGATGTTTTTTTGTTTTGTTACACACACACACACGCGCCCACCCAGACTCCATGTGATTTTCCAAATAACTTAAATCTGAGGTTATATTTCTCAGAAGAAATTTTCTGAAATAATTGATGACTATTATGATGCTTTATGATATTCTTGTTAGTGTGTTTACAGCAAAGAATATTGCTGTCTGTAAATATGATACCTTCCTCTGGTTTTTAAATTTCTTAAAGGTGAGACTCCATGTACACACTCTCAGGCACTTCTCTTTCTTCTTTTTCCTCACTTTGTCCATGGTTAGGAGTACTGTGCGCCCTCTGTCTTGCTTTGCTCGGAACAAAGTGCCAGAAAGGAATGTTGCATCTATCTTCACTCAGTCAAACTACATTGTGTCTAATTACTCAGTGTTCAAGACTCACAGGCTTATCAAGAGGTGCACACATTTCCCAATCAGTTTTATTATCCCACAGTTACTGTTTGTTGGGTGACTGGGTGGGGTTTTTTTCAATCAAGATAATGTATGTGATTTCATAAATGGCGCTCTCATAAATAAGAACTTCCATTAGCACTGCTAGACTCACTCAGAGAATGAGGGGAGATATTGTGCAGGACATGCAGTCTACTGTGAAACATACTTCAAACTACCTTTTCTTCTAGTTCTGCTCTGTCTTGATAGTTGTATTTTGTGGACAAATAGGGAGGATCCCTCTAGAAATGACATAAGCAGATAAATTGCTAATTTGTCTCTTTCATTTTCATAATCAGAGGTGAGCAGCTTCAAAGCTTCCAAGGTGAGATTTAAAAAGGTATTCTCTTACTAGAAAAAGCAAAACTGTGAGTTTATACAGCCATCTGCTGAAATGCTGTAGTCCCCTAGAAACTTCTCTACTGTTCTCAGATGAAGTTGGGTTGGTTTGCTCCCTGTTTGGCATAGTGGATAGCAAGAGCTATCAGAATCACAGAATGGCAGGGGTTGGAAGGGACCTCTGGAGATCATCTGGTCCAACCTCCCTGGGCAGCCTGTTCCAGTGATCTGCCACCCTCAGAGTAAAGAAGTTTTTCCTCATGTTGAGGTGGAACTTCCTGTGCTCCAGTTTGTGCCCATTGCCCCTTGTCCTGTCGCTGGGCACCACTGAAAAGAGTCTGGCCCCATCCTCTTGACACCCACCCTTTAGATATCTATAAGTGTTGATGAGATCCCCTCTCAGTCTTCTCTTCTCCAGGCTAGACAGACCCAGTTCTCTGAGCCTTTCCTTGTAGGAGAGATGCCCCAGCCCACTTACCATCTTTGTAGCCTTCCTCTGGACCCTCTCCAGTAGTTCCCTGTCTCTCTTGAACTGGAGAGCCCAGGACTGGATGTAATGCTCCAGATGTGGCTTCACCAGGGCAGAGTAGAGGAGGAGGAGAACCTCCCTCTGGCCACATCTTCTTAATGCACCCCAGGAGATCAATGGCATTCTTGGCCACAAGGGCACACATTGCTGGCTATGTAGAACAAACACGATGTTACATGAATAAATAACCTGAGTGAGTAGAAGTAGGCAGAAGATGATCAGAATGAAATCCGAAAGGGGTTTAAAAGAAAAAGATTACAAGAGAGAGTAATTTTTGATCCTTGAGTTGATCTATGGGCAACTAAGGCAAAAAACCTGAGAAACTGGGAAAAGGAAAGTGTGAAATAGCTCATTCCTCATTCTGAAACTTCAGGCATGGGTAGATTCTCTTATTTAAGTCTAGACACCCAATTTATATTTTGTAGTAGTTAGTGATAGTGATTTGGTCCATCTGTTCAGAATCTACCAGTGACATGCATGCTCTCCTGTCATCAGGACTCCTGCAGGGGGGTCTAGTCAAACAGTTATGTAAAAAAAAAACCAAACACACACCTCCAAAAAAACATGGTAAGAGGAATGAGTGGTAGGAAGTGAAGGTATGCTGTTCGGAGGAAGGTATGAGTGAAGCTTTTTTTTTTTTAAATCTGAATTTTTCAGAGTGATGTTTCTGAATTTTCTCCATTGGACTGAATAATTTTCTGCAGCCAAAGAAGAAGAAAAATAACTTCAAGAACTATTTTATTTAACAGCGTGATCATTTTAAGTTAGATTTTTGTTTTCCCATGAGGAAGACATGCAGAGTTTGAGAGTTTTCTTGAAATTGAGTAATTAGTTTCAGTTGTATGCATCAGTAAATGAACTTAGAGATTTCAAGGGTCAATATGGTAGTGACATGCATTTTATTTGGAAATGGTGTGTCAAATAGGTTTGCAGGGTAGCATGTTTTGGTCTTCGGTTTCAGATGCCTTTCAGAGTGACCTTAGCTTTGCTGAATTTGTTAGAGTCCTTTGTGAGTTTCCGTTTGATCCGTTCTTGAGTATTTTCAGTCATTAGGGTATTCTTAATAAACTGCTGGTTTACTCTGTATAGCCAGCTAGTGAATAACAAGCTTTGTAGTGTTGCCCTACTTTTCAAAACTCGTTGTACTTATATTTGTTACTAAAAAATTCTGATGGTTTTGGTGGCTTTTTGTTGTTCTCCATAAAAACAAATGTCCTCTTCTCTTTAGAGAATAGGATTAGTAAATATTTTTGCAAGACCATGAAGCTATAGGCTTAAGTAATCAGAGATCTATAGAAAGACAAACTGTGTAGGTTCCTTTCCCTTTTTCCCCTCTTCTTTTTCCCTCTGTTTCCCTTTCCATTCCTACCTAGGAATACTTTTGGTGGTTAGACAGAGTTCTGTTTGTTCAGTGCTGCTTACTGTGAACCTCATGATTATGAAGACCTTGTTCTGAAAGTCTGATCATGTAAGAAACTCAACTTTTATTTTTAAGTAGCAAGTGTCTAGCCCTTGTTTTTGGAGAGAAGTGTAGAAATTTGGTTCATTTTTTTCCTTTAAACACTTAACTCCAGTATTTGAAGTGACACTTGTCACTGGTTGCAAACATAACATACATTCTAGGCGAAGGCTCGTCATTTAAGTATCAGTTATGTAATGTAATAAGAGGCTGCTATTAACCACTTTTTATTATTACTTAGTCAGGTAGGAATAACCAGAGGAAATAGATGAGATATGAAGAGATGCAGGAATATGTAAACAAATTTGTGATCAGAGATTTCCAGAAAACTGTGATGTAATGAATTTAAAGAAGTTGGTAGTAAAGATTTTACTGAAATTAGATAAAAGAAGACAAGCAGATGATGCACTCTGAGACGGCTGATGTCCACTTCTTGGAGTTTTACTAAATATTAATTATGGAAGCTGTTAAATTTACTGTGATATAGGTATTCCTCTACCTGCAATCCTTGAGGGCTTTAGCAAAAAGTTTTACGACTCTTGGAGGATGTAACTACAAAAGAAGATTGCTTTTTGTATCACTGTAGAAAGATCTGTCTAAAGCAGTTGTTGAAGTTGTCTTGGCCTCCAGTGAAGGGGCAGACTTAAAGTCTAGCATCCTCCAGTCAAGCAGGTCATTTCTGGAAGTACCAATGGAAAGCAAATTTGCACTGAATCACTGTTTTCATGTACTAATTTGCATGCACCTGTCTGTTGTTTGTGAGCAGCTATGTTTCTCACTTCTCATTCTGTCACTTCTTGTGACTGGTTAATGGGAGGGCTTGCCCCTGTCACTGCGCTGCATTTCCATAGGACGCCTTTCTGCGATCTTTGCTTGTAAATTCTCCTCCTGGTCATCTGCGGTGTTTTTACCCTTCTCCAATAACGGAAGGCCAGAGGAAGGGCAGCTTTTAAAGCTAGTCAGTGTATAAAAATGCACCAGAAAAAAAGTAATGGGTAACTTATTGGGTAGGCTGATAACCAGAAAGGTCATTACAGAAGTAGTGCCTGCTGTCTCCTCTGGCTCCCTCCTCCCCTCCCCTGCCCTGTCCCCAGTGAAATGGGGGGAATGACATGATTTGCATTTGCTGCTCATTTCTTACTAGGGTGGGATGGATGTACTTGTTCTATTATGAGTTAGAAGTACAAGAAGTAGAGTAGTTCATTCTTCTTTCTTCTAACCAGAGCAGGTTGTGATATATGCAAGAGAAGAATTGAAGTAAACTCTCTGATTTAGCTGTGTGAAAAGGGAGGAGTAGTTATTTTTCTGCAGTGCTCAGTGCATTTCTCAGGCTGATATATATCATCTAGATGAAGGCATGGGAGTATATTGCATTCTTCTGTACCTCTTCAGACCATCTAATAGCTGCTTTTTGACACCTTGGAGCATAATTTCTGTATGTTTTTTCATTTTATTGTTCCTCCTGACATTGTCTCCTCTGAGGCAGGTATTCTGCCACTTAAGCAGGCAGAAGCTTTCCTCGGGGTGGGGGGGGGGGGGGGGGGGAGGAAGGTAAGAGGTCTGCAGTAACTATAGCTGTCAGCTTTCAAACTGTTTCCATCTTCTGGAAGTGCAGCGTGTGCACCAGAGAGTCCAGCCCTGCTTCTAGAAATCAGAAGACAGTTTGCGTAAGGAACACTTGTTCTTTAAGACCAAATGAAAACAGGAATGATATTTTAAGGTTAATTGAAGGGGCGGGGGGGAACGGAACACAGTAATTTCTAACATTGAGTCATTCTTAATTCCTTTTACAGAGCTATATCATATGAAAAGTCTGTCAGCTTCCTACTTAACAAATGTGTTCGTGATCTTTGTTATCTAGAATTCTGCTTAGCTTGATGGCTTTTTGTAGAACCTATCTATTTCCACATTCGGCTATGCTAGCAGAACACTTTGATCTGTTACGAGATTACATCTAGAATTTAAGATTTCTGATAAAGCCATACCAGCCAAACCCTATATTAATTTTCTCTTGGACACTTCAGTATTCTTTTCAACATAGCATTTGATTGCTTCACAGGCTTTTAAATTATTTTCATAATATCCTTGTGAGACAGAGCAGGTGATAGATTTCCCTGTTTGTAGCTTTAACTGAGAGATACAGAGGGCGTCAAAATGAAATGCTCCTTACAGATGACTACCCAACTCCAAAAATTATTGAGGAATGACCAGTTCCAGTGACCTAATAGTGCTGTAACCTTATTCAGTTCCTGTAACATGTGAAGTTAGGGTACTGTCTTTATCTTTGGTCTATTTAAACTTCTATGACACTGCTGTTTAAAATACAGCTTTATAAATTTATTCTGTAGCAACTGAGAACGTTCAGCCTCTTAATCCGCTGTTCTGTGTGCTCTTTATTGAACATTGAAAGGACAAGCACATAGTTAGTGACTACACATGAAAAATTTGGTTTGCCATACTTTGTTGTGAAAGGTTATCTGTTGCATTACACAGAGCTTCTCAAGAAATTCTATTCAACTACTATATTGTCATTTAGCTGCTTTCCCTCTGTCTGTATTAAGCACCTGCTCTTATTTTGGGATCCCTAGTGCAAGCCCTCTTTAAAAAGTGACTTTGTCAAACTTCATATCACAGAATGGCAGGGGTTGGAAGGGACCTCTGGAGATTATCTAGTCCAACCCCCTGCTAAAGCAGGTTCACCTACAGCAGGTTGCACAGGACCACAACCCAGGATGGTTTTGAATATCTCCAGGGAAGGAGACTCCACGACCTCCCTGGGCAGCCTGTTCCTGTGCTCGTCACCCTTGGGATAAAGAAGTTTTTCCTCATGTTCAGGTGGAACTGCTTCCTCCAAATGGCGCATGCTCAGAATTTCTGAAAATATCCCTTGAATAAATATAACCTTAGAATAAATATAAAAACTTCATGCTTTGGAGGAAACTTCTTAATGAATAGCAGGGCATTTATCACTGCCATTCCCATTAAAAGTCAAATGAGGTGGCAAATCCACATGTCCCTGCTGACCTCAGGAAAAGAATCACTTCACACAAGCAAAAATTTCCCCCTTTGCTGAAGCACTCGGCATACTTTTGTGCAAGCTGATTTCATTTTCTTTTTAGTGTTTTTTTGGGGGCTTTTTTTTTTGATGTTGAAGATATTTAAAATTAGTGCCTCGCAGTAATCATTTAGTCATGGAAGGGACAGGATGACTTACGTTAAATGTTTAGCAGCATGTTTTGTTACAGGCTGCTTAATTGTCATCTGTTGTGACAGTTCTACTTGTCTTTTACAGGAAGCCCATGATGGACTTGCTGATCTTTCTCTGTGCACAGTATCATTTAAATCCATCAAGTTATACTATAGAGTTGGTATCAGCAGAAAATAGCCAGATTAAATTCAAACCCAACACACCAGTGGGAATGCTTGAAGTGGAGAAGGTGATTGTAAAGCCAAAACAAATGGATAAGAAGAAACCTGCTCCAGTTATACCAGAGGTGAGGACTAAAATGAAAGTGTATTGAGAAACTAGAATCACTGTTGTGTTCAACAAGTTGAGCTGGTAACTCAGCCTTTTGTTTCAGCTTTTCCTGTTGTCTGTCATCCTCTCACCATGCACCCTTATGAAATACTTGGCTCCATGTTCTTAATAACCTCCTCTTAGGTAAAATATATCTCAGTTTGTTGCAGCAAACATCTCTGCTGCTGAAAGAAGGAAACATCACAATATCAGTTGAAATCCCACGCCTTACTGTCCTTTTGACAAATTCTGCAGACGAAGCGTGGCTGAATACAGCCTTCCACAAACTGAAAATCAACAACTTGTACCATCTGTCATGCTGTGATATATATGCCCTTCTGATTGTATGTTCATTTTCCTTTGATACGTACTGTACTTTTTTGTGGTTACTTGGCTTTTTTTATACACTCTTAGGAAGGCAGGAGCTTTTAGAAGTACTAAAGCAACTTTTGGGCGTTGTCTGTCTTTCTGCCTTCGTCTTTCTGCTGTATAGAAGAATACTGGTTTTTTAATTTATCTGAAGCACTTGCACAGGGAGCTCTTCTGCTGCCCTTTTACCTTCATTCTACATGTGTGCACATGCACCCATGGCTCATTGGCTGACTTCGACAGTTGCCTGATGTCACCTTGTAGGGCATCTCACTCCAGGCGTGTACCCTGCTGGACAGGCGCACATTGGATGTTAAAGGAGGAGCAGGCTGTTTCATGTGTCCTTTTCTTGCACAGAAGGGAATCACAAAATAGTTCTTAGTTTCTCTTGTAGTGTTTTTGAATCTGTAACATTGGTGAACATTGTAAGCAGCATTCCTGTGATTGCTGTAAGGCTGTTATAAAAATGCCAGTTGCTTCAGAATTCATGCTGGTATTTACTGGAATTTTCTTCTTTTTAGCAAACAGTAAGGGTAGTGATAAACTACAAGAAGACACAGAAGACGGTAGTAAGAGTTAGTCCACATTCACCCCTTCAAGAACTCATACCAATTATCTCTAGTAAATGTGAGTTTGATCCTTCACACACTCTGCTGTTGAAGAATTACCAGTCTCCAGAACCCCTTGATGTGACAAAATCTCTTAATGACCTTGGACTAAGAGAATTATATGCCACGGATATCAGTCGAGGTAAAATAACTTTTGTAAATTGCAGTTATAACAAATATGATTACTTAATATTACAGTAATATATATGTTTTGTTGGTGTTTTTCTTAACTTATGAAGAAATTAATTTCTAGCAATTTAATATATATTTCATTAATCTTCCACAAAATTGAAACTGGGACAAGTCTACCTGTACTTGTTTGAGAAGTGCTATATAAATATTTACTTTTCTAACAAAGTGTTAGGTATCAGTAAAGGTGGCTGATACAAATTGTCATTTAAAAGCAACCCCTTCCTTTCTTTCCATTCCCCCAACCTTTCCCAAAAAGACCAACACTGTATTTCTCTTAGCTGATAGAAAAGACATAGAATCATAATGAGCAGAAAAGAATAGAAGCGTTAGAGAAATTTAGTTTTGGTTTAAAATTATGTAAAATTTAAAAAGTGTTAGAATATTTTTATGGCATTTATGTATATTTCTGAGTGCTATTTGTTAATTATTACTCCTTCGGAATCTATAAAATTATCTTTTTAATTGTTATCAAACAGGGGCACAATGAACTAACTACCTTCTATTTGTACAGACATTCCTATGCTTGGTTTTAACTTTAGCTCTAAGCCTGTCTTTTTCACGAAAGGGTTATTGTACTGCGATTAGTACAATTCTGTACAGTGTGGTTTGTTCTGTTTCAGACATTTCTCGCAGGAAATTTTATCTCAGTATAGAATGCCGTAATGTCGTCTCACTCCTGTTCTTGACCATTGTTCTATTTGCGTGTTTTTCTTTCTGCTCTAAAACTTGGTGGGTTTTGTTGGGATTTTTTTGTGTGTGTGTGTGTCTTTTCCCTTCTTCTACTTAAATACAGTAACCTTATCGTTCGGTTTTCTCTCAATTACTTCCCAAAGGCCAGTTATCTTGAACAACAGGGGAATGACAGATTTGGAAAACGCTTCTTTTTCCCATGGAGAAAGCAAAAATGAAATATCTTTGTCTTCCCCACTGGCTAACGGACATACTTTAACTTGCCCAAACATGTTACCTGGACTACATGTGTCCATAGCACATTGTCTTGTTTGGCTACTGCTTTCATCTACAGACTGGCTTTTGCACTGTATGACATGTGCTTCATTTGAATCCACAGCCAAAAATCCTTAGGAGACAATATGGAGGCAAATGTGTTCTCTGCACAGCAATGCCCTGCTAGGAAATGTATCTGTACTTCAGTTCCCTTGATACGAAGTAATTCAGCATGTCAGTTTTGCAGACAGCTTCAAAGCTCTGAATTGTCATCTTTCTTTCTGAAAGTAAATGGTGAGGTGTACCTTTTACTTAATTTAAATTCAAATTTTATTTTCTTCAGATTATATTTTAATTTTACATTCCTCTTTGTTTTCCAAGTTTGGACTGCCTGACATTCCAAAACTTACAGAGCAAACTATTGTATATACTGATTTTCCTCTTTCCTTCGGGAATGTAAGTGGAGCACCTCTCCTTATTTACAGGATTCCAGTCTGTGTTGCGTGTCTTCAGGCTCAAGTTCTTAAATGGCTGATACTGTTAGGTAGTAAAGATACCACATCCTTTTACTTTGGGAAAGTACCCAGTTACTTTTTCCTAATGTTGAAGATTTGGCATGGCTTTCTGTGTTTGTAACTTATAACTGTGTCCTTGATTCAGGTTCACATTTTCTGTCTTTCTTTTTGTCTTTCTGTAGCCACATCACCAGTTGATTTAAATTTACCGTCTTTGCAAGGTACGATTTGCTGAAATAGGTGGTGAAACTGTAGCAGTTACATGACACTACCATCCGCTCCTATTATAACATCTACTTAACTGTAACATGAGTAATTATCTGTCCTATCATGAACGCACATTTAAAAAGATAATACAGAAGTGGATATACTCAGCTATATATATAAAGTATTTCTGTATAGTTTTACCCTAGATAATTTGATTAAATTTACAGTCATGTTTATATTGATACTAGTACCTAAAGCCCACAGTGGCCTTGCTGATTTCTGTTGCTCATTGCATTTGTATTCAGTGGGATTTCTTTAAGAAAGTTCAATCTAGTAAAAATTAAAAAGAGACAACCTTTAGATTTACAAATTGTCTGCATGAATAAGACAACATAAGGAGGAAAAATACTGCAAGATACCAGAATGGACTTGACTATCTTTACTACGACTGCCGTGCAGTTACGTGGGCAGCACTTATCGGGTGTTTCAGTGCTCTTTCTCCATCATCACACCACAGAATCATAGAATCATGGAATCATTTTGGTTGGAAAAGTCCTTTAAGATTATTAGGTCCAACCATTATCCTAACACTATGTGCAGGCTTGTGCCTGACTTGTCCCATTTCACACTTTGCCATGAATTTAAACTGCTAGGCATTGAGAGCTGGAGAGGTTGATGCTCTTTTTCCCTTTTACAGCCTTTGTGATATGAACCGTAAGATGGTTCATATGTGGGATGGGCTGGATTAAGGCTTAGGGGTATTAGCTGAAACTCATCTGTTTTGAGTTCTGAGAAAGACGGGAAGAACATGGATGGTAGGAAACCTGTTGATTTTGCAGCATTTAGAAAAACTGTTAATATAGGTGACTTATGATGTGTTTTCTATATCCTTCCAGGAGGTTTATGACAGACAGTGAAATAGTAAGAATGCAGGAGAAATAATCTGTGCATTAAATAACATCCAGAACGTTTTTCTTCCATTTTAGACTCCTACCAATCTGAAAACTTAGATGTTCTGAAGGAGAAGGAAAACAAAGGATTTTTCAGCTTTTTTCAGCGAAGCAAGAAGAAAAGAGAACAAGTAAGGTGTAAATTTGTAAAAGCAAAACTCCTAGAAACATATTCATATTGAGCAACCAATACTGTTGATTGTTTTCCAGAAAGTATAAGTAACTTGGATTTTTTTCTTTCCCCTGCACCCCAAGGCTGCCAGTGCCCCAGCAACTCCGTTGATGAGCAAACCAAGGCCAACATTTATCACGAGATCTAACACTGTTAGCAAGCAGTATGATTCAAACACTCTGCCATCTGAAATGCCAAAGAAACGGAGAGCTCCTTTACCGCCTATGCCAAACTCTCAGAGTGCTCCCCAGGAGCTTGCACAAGCCCAAGTCAGACCAGCGCCTGATGTTGTGAAATCCAACAGCCTTGATAGGAATGAGCAGGTTAGTTATATTTGCTTCATTTCTCTTAAGAAGGTTAGAATAATAATCCTGATAACCCTGTTAATATCTGCTGAGCCTTGAAATAAATGGGAAATAAAAGTGTAGTACTTGCTTTTACAGATTTTTGTTTGAAAATAACTAAAGAAATTGAAAGATACGTTCAAGGCTAAAATTGTAATTTTTTTTAATTTCATACTTTACTTTGAATGCAGTTTCTTAAGGTAGTCTTTAATAAATGAGGTTATTGGTGTGCTAGGAAATAAAATGCAAAATTAAATGAAATACAAGTCTGAAGGATTTTGTGTTGGACTGAGACAAGAAATTTCAAACCGTGACTTTCTTTATCCTTATGCAATGATTTACTCTTTCATTGATGCACAGAACCACAAGAGAGCA